AGATGAAGGCTATCAGGGGACAGCGCGCGATGGGGGCAACTGAAGAGCTTCCACTTCAAAGTGGGGAGTGTGGATAACTCGGATAAGCTCGCTAATTTGTCACAAGCTTATTTAGATCCTAATTGTTAATTTTCGACCTTGGCCTCAGTGATCCACATGTGTTGAAGGAAGGGGTCTCAGTTCACACAGAAATGTCAAACAATGTTAAGGGGTGATGGTTATTGGATTAGATGGGTGGTCACTGTACATGTACTGTGTCCTGGAGCAAAATAAGTTAAACTTACATGGGTGTTTTAAAATGTATTTAATTTATTCAATTACTGTTTTTTATTGGGGGGGGGGGGATAATTTTGTTAATTTATCTAGTTAACTTTCAAAACAACTGACTGCACCCAAAAATTACATATAGCCTGCAAATTTCGTCCAAAAGATACGGTAATTTTTTACAACACCCTCGAACCTATGTACTGACTCTGTTTCAAGTGAAAGTTGAAGGTTTCATCATAAGGTTTGCCTATGCCTTCACAACGTAAAATAAAAATCTTATTATGTTTTATTAACTTTTGGCAGACAAGCAAAGAAATATATAATATAAATATAAAGAACAAGAAAAGCACACCGAAAGCTAACGAACATCGCTAAACGGATATAAGAATAGGCCTAAGACAAAAAGTTTGCCGCCCACACACGGAGACGAACGAGTTCATAACTTGAGCATTCTTCAACGTCTTTCTGTTTGATTAGTATATCATATAGTATATAAGAGTCAAGCTGCTTGTCCCGGGACTCTTTCCCTGTCCCGCCAAAGCCAAATCTAAACTTGTATACTAGTCAATATAATATGTGTATAAACTTGAGTTGCCACCTAAGATAGCTTAATTTCAAATCCCAAGAAAAACACTCGGCATTTCGCTTCAGGTAATGTGTTCCAACAACACCCTTGCCTTGGTTTGTAACTCGTTGATAATCTTATGGCACTTTCCGCGACGGGCAGTTGCTGTTACTTCTAACAATGTTTGTTCAGCTTTTCAAAAGTGGGAGCACCGGTCACCGACACCTTTGGGAACCTAAGTCTGCAGACAATGCCAAGCAAAATCGGAGACTAGTCTTGTAGATGAGTGGTTTGCAGGTGCTCTGGTGTGATTTTGCTCCTTCTTTCCTATCAAACATCTACCGTCCTTATCTCCCCATCTTTTTTTCTTTGTGTGTTACGCTCTTTTAATTAACACCTCTAATCTTTGGCATGTTGGCCTGTATGACCTAGCTGTGTTGCAAGTGCCGCAAAACTTGAAAAACAAACACACAAACAAATCTGAAATTGCCGAGGGGGAAAAGGGAGGGGGTGGGGTGGGATTCAGATTTCAGAATAAAAACAAATCAACAAAGAGAACAGCAAGACCCACGCCTCGGATGTGCACATAGAAATCACTACATGTACCTCAGAATAATTAACTTCTGTCTCATTTTTGGCCGTTTTGAGTTACTAAGACCATAAGTTCAGAAATCAAATGCTCTATCTGCTCTATCAAAATCGTAAGATCATTCTAAGTCGATATCAAGAAATTTAAAGAATTGCATTCGAAAAAGCTTGATTATAATATAATATTGTGAAGCTAAACATTTTTGGCATCAAATTTCTCGAAACTATGTAGGGCGTCAGAGAGAACTTTGTACAGTAATTCGGAGGTAGCGACATGTAGCCTATTAGAAGAGACAGGTAGTGTCGACCAGTGACCACAGCTTCCAGGTGGGGACATATGTCGTCCATCAGACTCCTGTGTGGACATTTTTGTCGCTCTTAAGTTAAGGCTGCGGGTTAGGGTCACCCAGGTCACCATGTCATCGGTGAGATAATGTTTGGGCAGACGGGAGACAGAGTGCAGGGAAATACGGAGGGGTACTGTGAGAGAGGCAGAAGAGGAGGGTGGGAGGGAGAGAGAGGGACTGATATATATAGAGAGAGACAGAGAGAGAGACAGAGAGAGAGAGAGAGAGAGAGAGAGAGAGAGAGAGAGAAAGCGAGAGAGAGGGTGAGAGAGAGAGG